AAGGCCATTGCACGTAACAAAGTTTTATGCTAGGGGAGCGCGCTATTAGCGCTATTTGCTTATTCTATCCTTGTTTTACACCTGATGAGCGATAAAGATAGAACGATGCAATAGCGCTAATAGCGCGCTCCCCGAACGCAGCCTAGGTCTACAATGCGAGTCGTAAAGTCGTGAGTCGTAAGAATTGATCAATCACAGTCGATTATTCTCTTCAAATTCGATTGTGATTGGTCAATTCTTACGACTCACGACTTTACGACTCGCATTGTAGACCTAGCATTAGTCATAATCGTAAGGTCGTAAGAAAATAGACCAATCACAGTCGATTATTCTCTTTGAGCTTGAAGAATAATCGAGTGTGATTGGTCTATTTTCTTACAACTTTACGATTATAACTAAACTTTGTTACGTGCAACGGCCTTAAGTTGGATTCAGACAGGACGCGTCAAGCAGGGAGCAGCAACCAATCAGCTAGGCGATATTTTCTACGCCACTGCTGATATCAACTCGCTGATTGGGTTGTTGCTCGCTGCTTGACGCTTGACACGTCCTGTCTGAATCCAGCTTTAAAGGTGCCTTTTCATGCTGACGCTCGACGCTCATTTTCAGCGGCAAGAAGGTCGCATGACCACAATTGACGCCGGCGTCAATTGAAATTCATGAAAAGGAAAACAGCGTCAAAATTTCGGCGTCTTCGCGCTGCTTTGGCTTTGACGCTAAGCTGAGAAAATCCAGCACCTTAAAGGTGCGAATTCATGGGACGCTCGTTTCAGCGTATCGCAAGATCACGTGATTTCGATCTGACGTCAAGCAAAGAAAGCTGGATTTTCTCAGCTTTAAGCGTCAAAGCCAAAGCAGCGCGAAGACGCCAAAATTTTGACGCTGTTTTCCTTTTCATGAATTTCAATTGACGCCGGGGTCAATTGTGGTCATGCGACCTTCTTGCCGCTGAAAATGAGCGTCGAGCGTCAGCATGAAAAGGCACCTTAATGCTAATAGCGTTTTTTCTTGGCTGCACTATCGCCTACTAGTGCAACACTAGTGCAACACTAGTGCAACGCTATTGGGTAGTGCAGGGCAGTGCAGGGCGGTAGTGCAGCCAAGAAAAAACGCTATAAGACTCCATAGACGCGGAAACGCCGTGCGGTAGAGTGCGTTGACCAATCAGAAGGCTGCCGCAAGTCGCCTGCGGCAAAATCAAAATTTGTGATTGGTCAACGCACTCTGCCGCACGGCGTTTCCGCGTCTATGGAGTCTTAGCATAAATGTCGCAGTACATTCAGCCGTGACGTACAGAATGTAGCCGTGAACTACAAATGGTTTTTCCCAAAGTTTAGCCAAATTAACGAATCTCATTAAACTTATACTCGTTTTAATCAGTAAGATCAGCCGCAACCCGGTACATAGCCGGATTTTCCATTTTGGCTCTTAAAAATTTATAATAAATAAATAACGGAGTTAAAGTGCAGTTTAAAATGCACTTAGTGCATAAAGTGCACCCGAGTGTACCTGAGTTTGGCCGTGATTCCTGTCGACCCTTAAGCGGGGAGCACACACTTCTGCACAACGCATAATGCGTAAGCTGGCGTAAGCATAAGAAAATTGATTGGTCCATACACATGTGCATAAGGAAATAGACCAATCAATTTTCTTATGCTTACGCATTATGCGTTGTGCAGAAGTGTGTGTCCGGGCCCTTAAGGTGGTTTTGAATATAAGATCGGCTATGAATACCGGCCTATATGATTTTAATATGATTAAATTATTTTGTATAATATAAATAATTTTTAAATGTAATTACATACTCTTTTCGCTACTACTCTTCTCTTGCTTTTTGTGTAACACGAAAGAAATCGGTGAGCCATAAAGGATTCTTGAAAGAAAACATAAAAGATTTGTATTCGCGTATAGCGAGATTGTGGTCGGTGAGAATCACGATGCTAGTGACGGGCCTGATGATGATCCGGTCGTCTGCTGTGACGCAGTCAAAATGGCGACGAGTGATGAAGTGCCGGTAGAAATCAAGCAGAGTCGCGCGTGTATCACGGAGAATTCGGTGAGTTTTATCGAGTGGGTTATTTCAGTAAAATAACGGAGGGCTCGATCTTTAACGGGATATTATTGACCGATACAATCCAAAGATAATAGACGCACACTACTCGAAGTTCAAAACGGCTAGAAACGTCGGCTTTGTCGTGATAAAAGTCCTCTCGCGTCGCGTATGTATGTACAGTAGAGACGTAGAGAGTACCCAAGGCTCTTGGCGCGAGTAGCGGTTGAGAATAGGACCACGCTGCCGTGATACGTTTCCGAGGCGGTTACACGAGGACGTGACGCCAAAGAGCGCCTGGTTACGGATACGCGATTATCGAGACGCAGAAGATTCGCAACTCTCGGCGGACATTCTATATAGAACAGCGGAAACGATATAGCGGAATATAGCGCGTGTAGGCAGGATATTGACTAGCCGTTCGATTCCGAAGGGGACGCCATTTGTTTTGGCGGGCACGTGTATTTCATTGCCGGGCGCGAACTCGCTCGTTGGAGTAACAGATCCTGTGCTAATCGTACTTATGAACAGCATTGTAAATTTACCGTTTAAACAATATTAATTTTTGTAGAAACAGTAGTTTTGGTAGTACGACGTATGTGTGTGCGTTATGCGTTTATACGATAGATTGGTAGCGGAAACTATGTTCCTACGTGATTTACGTATTTTTTACATACTGGAACTAAGCGTTTGTTATATATACTGATAAATTAAGCAGTGCAATATGCATATCCATGAAATAAAGCTCTTTAATCTTCCGTGTGCATGTTTTTTCGGTACCTTCCCAGTGTATACATGGGTCTGTCATGTTCGACGTTATTTTTCCCTACTTTAAAGTATTCTAAAAAATCTGAAAAATTCACAAACCATTTGTCTACATTGTAGTTGACGATTTTATAGTCATTTTGATGAACATTGTTTATTTAATATTTTCTGGCAGGCTTGCAAGTTAAGTTACGAGCGATGTCATTTTGTCTCGGATGCCGTTGACCCATGGTTACACACGGAGAGTTAATGCAATAAGATCGTAAAATATTATATTTTGAGATTTTACTGTACCGCTGCAATTTTATAGTTAAAACTTACAAGCGCATAATAAATTAGAGAGTGAAATATAGTTCAAATAATTTGTTCGATGCGTTGATTGGTTTCTAACACACTATAAATATTACAGATGTCAGAAATGGAGTCCATGGACATAGCAGCAGAGCCTACTACTGTGAATAAGAATGCTAGTGTACCATCCTGCAGAGAATCTGTATCTGTCGATGACATGACCTCGAGGGATTACTATTTTGATTCCTATGCTCATTATGGAATACATGAAGAAATGCTAAAGGATGAAGTACGCACCGTGACTTATCGAAACTCAATGTATCATAACAAACATCTCTTCAAAGGAAAGACAGTTCTCGATATCGGCTGTGGCACCGGTATTCTCTCCATGTTTGCAGCTAAAGCTGGTGCAGCTAAAGTCATTGGTATTGAATGCTCTAATATTGTTGAGTATGCAGAGAAGATAGTGGAGGCAAATAATCTGTCCAATGTTATAACGATACTTAAGGGGAAAGTCGAAGAGGTTTCATTGCCTGACGGAATAGAAAAGGTTGATATAATAATATCCGAATGGATGGGCTACTGTTTGTTTTACGAATCGATGTTGGATACAGTACTCTTTGCCAGAGACAAGTGGCTCCGCGAAGATGGTATGCTCTTCCCTGATAAAGCGACTCTATTCATTTGTGGAATCGAAGATAGACAATATAAAGACGAAAAGATCAATTGGTGGGATGATGTGTATGGATTTGACATGAGTAGCATAAGGAAGGTGGCTATCAGCGAACCGCTAGTAGATGTCGTCGATCCAAAGCAAGTCGTCACAAATGCATGCCTAATCAAAGAAGTTGACCTTTACACAGTGACGAAGGCCGATCTTGAATTTTCGTCGCCGTTTACCCTTCAAGTTCGCAGAAACGACTATGTCCAAGCTCTAGTTACGTTCTTCAACATCGAATTCACCAAGTGCCACAAACGTATTGGCTTCAGTACCGCACCCGAAGTGCCATATACACATTGGAAGCAAACTGTCTTTTACTTCGATGAATACATGACTGTGAAGAAGGGAGAAGAAATATATGGCGTATTCTCGATGAGGCCCAATGCCAGGAATTACAGGGATCTGGATTTCAGCATCGAGTTAGACTTTAAAGGCGAATTGTGCCAAGTCCACGAAACTAATAACTATCGTATGCGCTGATATACAGTGGATTGCGCGCCACTTTCCACTTTTCTCATAATTCATAAAAAAAAGTCATTTAATCAAGCCTGAAGTCGATTTCCTATTATGGAGAACTATAAATGATCGCGTTTAGACAGCATGTATTGTCAACGGTATGTGAACTGTTAAACTTTAATTTTGAAAAGCATAGCGATGCTTTCTGATTAGACATTTAATATAATGACTTTTATAGACGTTTTCTTCCGTAAACGTACAAATAATTGGATAATTAATTATTTATAATAATTAAATTCAGACGAATAACAAGTGTAATAAAAAAATTTTTTACGCGAATTTTCGCGCACAACTAAAAGTAAATTTATCTATCAATTTGTAAAAAAAAGTCTTTAAATGTTAAATATAAATGTTCGGCGATATTTCATTGTAATATTAAAAGAAACTACTTGTAATTAATATCTCTGATGTACAATAAAATATATAATTGTGCGCTAAAATTCTATCCTCGTTATTTTCTTTTATACTGTTAAACTTTGCTTTAGTATAATCTTATCAAAAGTTAGGGAATGCTTGAATTAATTCAAGTTTTCACATGTTCCTCTTACCTCTAATCAATACTCATTTATTGCAACTTGTCGAAAAAAATAATGGAATAATCAATAGACTTATTTTGAAGAATACTATTTTCTGCGAATGCATATATTTGCAAACAGATAATGACAAGATGAACGAGCCTGAAGGCAAATATTGTATTTAAACGAGTAATCACATTACTTGTTTTCGTATATTTAGTAATTTCAATCGTTGATTATGGAGAAGTAGGCTGAGCGCAAAGATATTTTTTTCTTTTTTATTTAAGCAGAGTGTATCACTATGTTGTTATACCTTTTAGACAATTGGCTAACTTCTGTGTCTTGTAATCAGTCCTTAATTGAATAAAATTAAGTAGAACGGTACGATCGAGTGTCATCTGCAAAAAATAATACAAATATACATTTCTATAAAACATGAATGCAATAAATTATGTAACATACCAGTTGATCTCCCGTGCAAACTTGTTTCAAATTTTCCGGTTTAACCAATAGTAAGTTGCACAAGGCGTGCAGAGTATCAAAGAGATTCGTAACAAATTCAACCTCAAGTTCCTTAATGCACTTGCGATATTCGTTCATGTCGCATATCGCGCACATAGCACCGGCGGAATTAAACTGAAATTGCTGCAAATGATCGTAAATGATTTTGTGGAATCTAATTCCTAATTCCTTGAGAGCGGTATCCAAATGCCTGCCGTCCAAAGTATTTCGTATCAGTCGTATCATTCCGCTCACGTATTGTACCACGACTAAACAAGCTGGAGTATTCACAGTATCTACGTCTGTTTCCGGCTTAAAATCAGTCTTTTTTTGTTCGCTTTGTAAATACACCTTTACCCAGCCTACAATAGCATTTATGCTGCGATCCAAGCCGGTGTCTAATTTGACGTCTATTTGTTCTAATATCGCTTTCTTCTTCAACAAACAATCGGCGTGTTTGGATGTGGAACTAAAAAAAAAAAGGACATTGTTTCAGTACTACCAATTTGTATTGTTATGTAAAAAAGGCATATCAGACAAGTAAAAAAACATGCATACATAACAAGAGGCAGTACACTATCGTTGAACTGTTCCTCCAAGAGTCGAACAATCGCATTACACTGATGCACTACGTTAAAGAAATGAATCTCTGGTTGAGTCCTGCTCTCTGGTATTGGTACACTTTGTAAACCCAATTCCAACGCGTAGTCTACATGCTCGCTTATTAAATATTGTAATAATATTTCCAAGATCTGTAATGCATTTCCAGGTACATCAATAGACTGCGAAAGTAATTGACATCTTTGAAATGCGAGTTTGCTTCTTTGTAGTATCGCGATCGCTAGTTCTTCTGATAGAAATGTCTCGCCTCCGTAATCTTCTATTTGAGCAATGTTTATATTCGTTCTTGCACCTAGTACAGCCTGTAAGTCTCTACGTAGTTCTTGAAAGCCACCCATTTGCAACTGTTTCTTCTGATGATTCTTAGATTCGTAGTACTCTATAAGCAACGTTGCTGACTTTTCTCGAAATGCCTTCGTTTCAATACTAAAATAATCGATAACGGATAATTATTGGTCAATAGCTCTGTTATTTTCAGCAGCGTTATTCTGAATTGTGAACTCACCTAATATAAGTATCTAAATATTTCTGAAAGATATTTCTTGTAAGCTTGGCAAGATACGTTTCGTCAG